CAGCCAGGGCAATAGGAACTTGTGGATGTGAGGAAAGAAGGAGAGTTCGGTGGGCACCTGCGCCCGACCAGGCTTCCTGGGCCCCTCTTCTTCCTCCCTGCTGGCCCAGGAGGGTGGCCGGTCCCTCCTAGCCTGGGGGCGCTGCGCGCTGAGGCCCTGCCCTCCCTGCCCGCGCCCAGAAGCACTGATGGAGGGGCGGAGCCCGCCAGAGACCGGTGACTCCGCGCGAGGCTGCCCGGCCACACAGAATCTTTTTCTTGTAAGGCATTGACAGGAAAAGCAAGTAGAAACCTTCTCCTACTTTCTCTCATCTTTATTCTCTTCCAACGCAATGAAGCTGAAAAGGCCAAGACTTGTGGGCTGCCCCAGACTCTGGATTAGTTTTGCCCACGTGTGGTAGTAAATCTAAACTAAGAGTAGCTTAAATGACCTTATTTTCTATCATAAGACAAGTCGAGGAGAAGCCAAGAGAAGGCGGAAATGGCTGATACACAACGTTAGGAACCCACAGATTTCCTCATGCTCCTTGGTAACTGCTCCAAGTCCAGCCCTTTCATCTGCATCCCTTGTAGAGAGGAGACAAGTGGTAGAAAAAACAGTAACCTGAAAATCTAAGGAAATTTTCCAGGTGTGCATTAAAAACTTTCCATTTAAAGGTCATTCCTTGATCAGCACTCGACCACGTGACAACCTCCTAAAAAGGACATTGAAAAGAGTATTCCTTTGTGCTGCAATGTGATCAGCCTAAGTATGGGTGCGGCAGTCACAAGAGGAGGCTAAAAGACTCTGTTCGGGCGAGGCTCTTCCCTTCCCAGCCACTCTGTCCTGCGGGATCTCACTGCCATGATGTCTCCAGAATGAGACCTAAAAGCTAAACCCTGCTGCCCCACCCTGCGCTCGCTGCACCGCCCCACTGCCAGCCCCAGTGAGCTCTGGCTCCCCAGGCCCAGGTTTGGCCTCATCCCGCCCCTCTGCCTCAGGGGACCCCAGGCCTGCCCCGTGCAGGAGGCAGTGCTGCCCGTCCAGGCCCTGCCAGATGGCCAGGAAATACCTGCAATGAGCATTCGCCACATGCAAAATTTCTTAGCATAACAATCGTTTTAGCCATTAAAATTCCTCTTTAGACAAATATTAAATGGGGTATGACTTATTTAAAATCTCTATAATTACAATTTATTTTAAATCATCTTAACAGATGATATTAAAGCTTGCTGTCGATATATTGCATACACACTCTTACGCACAGAATATGCTGTAGGCTGGAAGCAGCAGATCTCATCTAAACACACAAAACAATCCCCTTATCAGAACATTCAAAATTCCACTGTCTAATACACTGCTGAAATAATATTTCTGGATTTTGCGTGTACTATGAAAAACACATTTGAAATAAATGCTTTAAAATTGGTATCATTTTCCATGTGAATGGTGGACTTGCCCATGACTTTAGCTTCTCTGTGCTCTATTTTCCAAATGTTCTCAACGACTTTAGCCTTCCCTCCCCCCCCCAAAAAAAAATCCTGCGCTCTGCCCTCACCCGCCTTACTCACCCTGTAGACACTTGTGACTTCTGGCACCTACAACGCCGCTGTTTCCTTAGGGCCTCCGGCGTGGTCCCGTAACTCCCCCGGCACTGCGCTGCTTCTGTCGGGATTCCTGTAGCTCCCTAACGTCCTCCTTGACTTCTCCTGTGACCCACTGACTACTCCAGAGTGTGACGTTCAATATGCATGTGTCCCCATAGTTTCTGCGGTCCTTTTTCCACTAACTCGTAGACTCATTGTGCTACCATCTGGTAATATACAGGGAATCATTCTTTTGCATTTACTTAAGCTTCCTTTATGGGATAGCTTGCTTTGTGGTCTATTTTAAAATTCCTTTTCTGCTCAGAAGAATATGTATTCTCTTGTTGTTGAGAAGAACTCAATCTCTCTCTCTCTCTCTCTCTCTCTCTTTATATATATATAAAATTATAAAGAGCACACATATATATTATAAATTTAGATATTATAAGTATACGCATGCTGGCTTCATATTTTTGCTCATTCCCATTTATTTTAGATGAGTCTTCCTTAGATAGCTGGGGGATCCACGTTCATGCTCTTCTCTTGTTTTTAAGGTGTTTCTCAGTCACTGGTCGGGAGTCAGCCCAGCCTTCCAGGCCGGACTCTGTCCTCAGTGTCATTGCCCATAGAATTTTTCATCTCCTGGATTTCTGTCTGGTACCTTTTCATAAACTCTAATGGTTTGCTAAGCTGGTTTTTCATGCTTTGTATCATTTTGTTCAGCTAGGCTAACTTGGGGGGGGCCCTGGGAGATCGAACTCAGATCCTTGCACTTGCAAGACAAGTGGTGACACCACTGAGCTAAACCCCGGACCCTTAAACTAACTTTTTATTACTGTCTTCTTTATACTTCCTGAATGTTTTCTCGATTGAGTCTATTATCTACGTCCCCTTTGAGCTTGCCAACCATTTTATTATTCATTTTTCTCTGTTTGTATCATTTCCAGTAATTCAGCTGGGTGGCTTTTGAGTTCCTCCCCCTCAGTGCCGCATGGGCCAGCTTTGAGGGGGTCAGGAGCTTTAGGAGGCATTCTGTTGCCTTCCTTTCTCATGTTTCTGCATGCGTGTGTGTGTGTGTGTGTGTGTGTGTGTGTGTGTGGTGTGTATTTTGAGGTTTATGGACTGAATGTAGAAGAAAGACTTTTTGTACTAGTTTGCACACCTCTTTAGTTAGTCTCTTCTGTGAAAATGTGAGGCTAAGTACCTTGAGGGTAACGTACTCAGAGTGGAAGTAAATATAAAACCGAGCCAAGGGAAAATATACAGACATGAGAGACCCCCCGAGACCCCCACAGGGCCAGGAACACAAATTAGCTTCCCTGCAAAACACTGGGAACTGGTGCTAGCGCACAGGCAGTGTGCCCGAAGAGAGCCTACAGAGACCCTTTACATCCACGTGCTTTGGGTTCATTTTGGAAATCGCCGATTTTTCAGGTCCCACCGCTGAGCAAGACAGTATTAGTTTTCCACTACCTTGGCTCCTGTGATAACCTGACCGAAGCCATGTACAGGCTGAAAAGGCTCTGGCAAGTTCCAGGTCACGATCTTCTCCAGCAAGACCCGCTTTTCTGTAATCTCCGCTTTGGTTTTCTTCCCGGGTGGAGATGCGGTTGTCCTTTGCAGTGTTCCTGTTTGGGGATGAAAGACACCGTTCGTTCTAGTGAGTAACTGAAGTCTTGGCTACTCTTGGGGAAGGCTGTGAGCTGTAGGACTTCACAAGTTCCAGCCAGTAAATTTCTCTAGAGTTACGGCAGCCAGAACATCCGTACCCACGGAAGACACGGCCTGTGGGTCGGGAAGGGGGGCACCCCAAATGCGTGTGGAACCCAGCGGCTAGCCTGTGACACGGCTCCCCAAATCCCCATAGAACCCTTGCACCTCCAAGCCCGTGGCAAGACGACTTCTCTGGGGCAAACGCTCCATCCTCCACGTCGCTGCAGTGCTGTCACATAGTTCTTTCTTCCCCCAATCGGTGTCTGAGTTTTTTGGCTTCACCGGGCAGCAGTGAACCCGGACCTCTCACAGAGACGTAGGGTGGCTCCTTGGCTCTGGGGGAAGCGATGGTTGGGGGGTGCAGATGCCACTGCCGCCGTGGAGGTGTTGAGGAAGGGGCGAAGGTTCAGAGATGCAGAGAAGCCAAAATGCTTCATTATGAAAGAACGAATAAGGGAGCGGTGCCTGAGCTCCCTGAGAAGACCCCGGGTCTCCTACTCCACTAAAGCAGTAAGAGGCGCTGGGGAGAGGCTCCTGCTTGTGAGCAGCCCAGGTTCACGTGATGCTGCAATATGTAGCCAAGCCTCCTGGACTCGGTGGGGACGGTTCCAGAGAAACTGAGGCTCGAATTACAGCCCCCCTCCAAGCAGGAAGTGAGCAGAACAGTCCTTCGTGCCTCTGTCGGGTTACCTGGGCAGCCTGACCCCAAATTCAGCCTAGCAGAGCTGCACCACAGATCGGTTCGTCTGCAAAGTGCCTCAACCATGAAGACTACTCAGCGATCTGGGGACAGTTTTCTGTTCCTTTTAGAAAAAGGGATTGAAAACCCTTTATGTTCGAGTGAGATGAAAAATCTTCGTTGACACTTTTGTCTCCTGGCTGTGTGGATTCTCCTACACTCGTTCAGAAATAATCTACAGAAATACGGGCTCTCAGGCATCCCTCCAACACGCTGCCCAAAATATAAATAAATTAAAGCGCACGGGCAAGGCAGACAGGAGGAAATGGGGAGCTGGATCTTCTGCAAACTGGAAGGGGACCGAGAGCCTGGGGGCGAGAGGGAGGGGAGGGGAGGGGGTGAGAAAAGAATGAAGCTGCGCGATATCCGCGCACCGACTCCCCAAGACGCGCTGCAAACATGGACTGGAAAACTACAAACTGGAAGAAGGAAAATAGACACAACTTCTCCTTGCCCGCCACTGCTTTAATGGCATTGTGCTTGTAAAGAGAGTCCCTAAGCAACCAAGCAGTTGCTCAAATGTTGTGAGCTTCGGTAAAACACGTGTGCTCCAGAACAAACGTACTGATAAATTACGTTAAGTGCCGGAAATTGGACGCTTTGGCAGACTTCTCAAGCTCAGTGCTCAGGGCCACACGAGAACATTCCCTCCAAAGTGCAGTTGGCAAAGCAGGAGGCACGGTGTCCGGATAAGGCAACGAGTTCCACAGCCGGGAGATCCGTCCTCGTCCGCACCGAGGGCTGCCGCGTGTGCCCGTGCCGGATGACACGAGAGCGAGACGGGGCGTGATCGAGCAGGGCGTCCCGGCCACTTAAGGCACAGGCTACGCGGTCTTGGTGGCTCTCAAACCTGTACGCAGGGCAGAGAATCAGCATGGAGACGCCTAAAGCCTCAGGTCACTGACTTGGTTCCATGCTGTCTGCCACCAAGAATCGTGGAGCCGCTGAGAAACAGCTCCTGGCCTGCGTCTGGGCCCCGCCGGGGAAGGGAAGCCTGCAGCAGGGGCACTGGGACACACTTCCGGGCCGGTTCAGGGAGAGGAGATCCCTCCGATCCCCCAGCACAGGATCAAACAGGCACCGCAGAGGTGCATCATGCGGTGAAATCGGTCAATCTGAACAAGCCCCCGCGAAGCCATGTGGATCAGCTATAATTTAAATCTACATTAAAAAACACACAAACACACATTCTCCCTCCAGTGCCGCTCCCACTGAGGACAGCAGTGCCACAGACTGGTGCCCGCCCTGCACGTTCTCTGAGTTCCTGTGGACAAAGACAGGCACATTTTATTCACTACATGATCTTCGCTTTTTAAAATATGATCAGAGCTGCAGGCTGATCTATACCTCAATTCTTTTTACCCTGATGGTCATTGTACCAATTAGATCTCCCCAGGTGGGTCCACGAATACTTTATTTATTCTTGGTATTTCAGAAAATGAATAGCCCTTTTTCCACTAGAGCTATTTGAGTTATTTCCCTCAGTTTTCTTCATCACGACACATAATTCTGTAACATATGTAATATTAATGCATTGACCTTTATTTGGCTGTTGTTAGAATTTCTAAAGGGGAGACTTGGGGGCCAAAGGTTGGGGTGAAGGTGAATAAAGGAGATTGCATAAAAGGCACGAAAGCACCATTAGATAAAAAGAATGATTTCTGCTGTTCCCCAGCACAGTGGATGATGATTTTTAAAAACAACCAATGACATATTTTATGAAGATCTGAAAGAGAGGAGCTTGAAGCTCCAGATAAAGAATTGATTGGTGGCAGGGGATTTAGCTCAGTGGTCCCACCGCCTGCCTTGCAAGTGCAGGGTCCTGAGTTCGATTCCTGGTACCCAAAAAAAAGAAATTATTGGAAGAGAGAAATGTTATTATCCTTATTTGATCAGAGAATGTTGTTATGCCTGTGTTGAAAATCATACCAAACTCTATTTTTTTTTATACCAAACTCTATTAACATGCACAGTCCATACATATTCAGCAACCATGGCAAAGGGGCATGCAAATTTATTATTTTAAATGGAGACAACCAAAGTTCTAAATAGAAATTGAGCCAACCATGCTAATCAGCAGAAAATGAGTGCGCACAGCTAAATCAGAATCTCACTGGGAGTAAAACTCTGAATGTACCATCTGCGATGAGAGGCAGTGTGCTGGCATTTCATCTGTACCTCATTTACTTAACCCATGGCTTGGAACACTTTCTACACATGTTTTTGGTAATTATTTTAGCTTTCATATTTCCAACAGTTTCAGTTCCTTCACTGAACATTTACCCATCGTATCTGTTAACTGAGATTTGAGGCTGCTTCCTATAAAGTAGGGCTATTATCACACCGTTCATGATGGACACAAATACTGTCATCTTTATATTATTTAACTTTAATGTTATCTGCAGAGCTTTGATCTTTCCTATATAATTTTCAGTTTTCAAATCTGGATAAAAGATATTCACACACAGAAGACAATACAAATACTCACCTAAGTTTTCCTCTACTACGTCCCTATGTGTGCACTTTTAATCCATTTCTGCATTGTTCTGAAACACTCATATGTTACAGAGAACAAGACAGAGGTAGAGAAATATCTGAGTAATTCTTCATTTTCCAAATACTCTGAAGAGCAGGCAGCACCAGGACTCGCATTCAAACTTTGGTTCCCAGTCCAATATTCTTTTCATGCACACTTTGCCCCATCAATGACACCACACAAATAGATATCGACCTTACCCACCTACCAGAGAGTGCTTCCCTTTCACCTTTCTCCTGAATGCATCTTTCACCTCCTTGTTTCTCAGGCTGTAGATGAGGGGATTCAACCCCGGGATGACCACAGTGTAAAACAGAGAAACCACTTTATTGATACCCAGAGATGAACTCGAGCCAGGCCGGACATAGGTGAAGAAAAGAGTCCTGTACAAGATGGAGACGACTGCCAGGTGAGAGGCACACGTGGAGAAGGCTTTCCAAATTCTGTGGGTGGTCCGGATCCGCAGGATGACCACAGCGATGTGTCCACAGGACACCACAATGACCACACTGCTGAAAGCACCGACTTAGTAATCCAGGTGTCAATGCAGGCTAAGGAAAGCAAAGGGGAAATGTCACAGAAAAAGTGATCGATCGTGTTTGGACCACAGAAGGACAAGGAGAAAGTCCGCCTTGTATGGGTCGTGGTGCTCACAAGAGCTATGGAGTATGGCCCGATGACCAGCCGCACGCACACCGGCCGGGACACAATGAGTGTGTACAGCAGCGGCTCACACACGGCTGTGCACCGGTCATATGCCATGGAGGCCAGGAGAGAGCACTCCGTGGCCAAAAAGAGTCCTAAGAACCATATCTGTGCAACACAGCGCACGAAAGAGACCCTCTTCTCTGCAAAGATATCACTCAGGGTCTTGGGGGCGATGGAAGAAGAGCAGCAGAGGTCCACACAGGACAGGTGGCTAAGGGAAAAGTACATAGGAGTGTGGAGTCTGGGCTCGACCCGTATGAGCGTGATCATCCCCAGACTGCCACCCAGCGTGACGAGATAAACAAAGACAAGAGCGAAGAAAAGGGCGATCTTCTGAGGGAGGCGATCTGTGAGGCCCAAGAAGAGAAACTCGGTCACTGCTGTGCGGTTCCTTCCCTCCATGGTGTCACCTGGAATCTGACACTTAAGAAAAAAGGATTTACTTTCTCACAAAAGATTTAACCATTCATGTCTGCGTATAGTATTTAGCCAGGGACTAAAGGGAGACGGCAGTGCTGGCTACCAGGTCGGGGCACCTGTGCCAAGATCCCGTGTGAGCTTCGGTAACTGTGCCTCCTCCCTATCTTGGGACTCTGCACCTACCCCTACCAACAGCTGATCCAAGCTTCCCTACTGTAAAATTGTATTTCTGAAGAGAGCTACTCTTAGTACTTCATCTTGCTGTATGATGGGATACACTTAGGTGTGACTTGGGTTAGAATACTGTACAAAATAATGGGGTGTTCGTATCTTGGTATGGAGGAGAGATGAAGCAAGACGCCTAAGGAATTCCTAAGGAATCCTCAGTGGTGTCACACTGCTAAGGCATAACCCACAGATGTGCATATTGCTGTCTACCTTTATAAAGGGCTGTGGGAAGAACAAAACACACTGGACAAAAGGCTCCTCATTCTGAAGACCGGTGACACACACGACAATAGTTGTCGAGGTTCATAAAGATCATTGGAGACAAAAAAGAAGACACATTTTGTGGTAGATGTGAAGTAAAAGAGGCATCAAGAAAAACAACATAAAATAAGAAGATTGAGTACAAAGGCTTCCCCCAACCCCATAAATTCAATTTAAATTGTAAATGGGATCATTTTCTTAGTTGCTTTTTATGCAATTTTGTTTATAAGGTGAATGCTCTCAGGATATCTGATTTATCCTCCTGGGTTTCAATCTAACATCATCTTGGGCCAAGGATAACAAAATGGTAGCGGTAAGCCCACGGCCATGAAACCAACATCCCCTCCCCGTGTCACACAGTCCAGAAGCCACCTGCCAGCTGAATGTTTAACTGACCTCGGAGGTTGCAGGAGGGCAGCAGCATGGAGTCTTTAGCGTGATTAACGTTTTCCGGGAGGCTCTAGACTTCGAACAACAGCACCCTAAGCTCTTCTGCAACCCTGGTGGCTAGAATGCGTTAGCTTGGGATGTGAGAGGCGGCCGCAGAAGGAACCCCTGCCACAGTCACTTGCAAAGACCGCGGGGAGGGAACTCAGTTTCCTGACCTGGCAAGTCTAGGACAGATGGAGGAGGTATTTCTGTGCTTGGAGCATTCGCTGCCATCTGGGTGCATGCCAAAGGGCTGAGCAGGTAGGAATCGGTGTGTTAGTTCCCCATCGCCTTTGCTCCCGAGACGCGTGTTTCATATGCACTTCCAGACTCCCCTCTGCTGTACTAACCCCAGCTGCCAAAGTAGCTAGCTTTCCTTGGCCACCCTGCTTTCCCTGTCCTATTTCTTCACCACTGCTAATCTTTCCCTCACTTCCCCGATCAATTACTAAGATAGGCAGGTATAACAATGCCCCCCCCAAAAGAATGTAAGTATTATGCTTTGCTAATTTATACTAATAAAATATTTTTCACAGTAAAAAAACTAAGGTGAAGGGAGGGCAGGGGTAAGGGGAAAAAATGAGAATCAAGACTTGTCATGTAGAGGTACAAGATCCCAACAATGAATGTAACTGTACTGTATCCCTAAAAATGTACCAATAAACTCAATTAAAGCTGAAAAAAAGACTAATGAATGAAAAAATTATTCCTACTTGAATCCTTGTCTCTGGTTCTACTTCCGAGAAACACAAGCCCTGCCAGAGCCCACCCTGGAAAGCAGCCTTTGGACTCTGACCAGCAAGCAGAGGAACCAGCAGGTGGCAGCACCTCCACATGCGAAGATGGCTGCCGGGCAGGGCTGCAGTTTCCCTCTGCAAACTCCCTGCTCAAACCCACCGCAGAAAACCTAAAGTCATCACCAGTGTCCTGACCCTGCCACTGCATCTGCTTTTCCTGAGTGAGCTTCATAAAGGGATCAAATATGTTACATGCATGAATGAAAACTGTTATTCTGTAAAATCAATGTGCACTAATACATACATATGAAAAATATCCTAATCCTGAGCCTTGATACCAACTCAGGATATCACCATCCACAGCAGTTTGCTTCATATATCCTGAGAGTTTGTTCACTGAATCAAAAGCAACTTTTTAGAATTCAAAGATCATCATTGCTTCGAAGATTTGCTTCTGGAACCATTCTAGTTTTTGCTACATAGAAAGTTTTATTTTATGGCTCATAGGGGCAAAAGTAACCCTCACTCTCTCCTTAAACCTATGAAACAAAAGGACATTATACTACTGTCTGTTTCCAGAGTGAAACTGTGAGTAAAAGATAACTTAGAACAAAAACAAATTTCCGAGAACAAACACACACAAAGTTGCTTTTGAAAGCTCTGTCATAGGACACTGGACAGAAATAAGCTTAGAGCACTGCCTGATGGGAAGTTAGAGCAGATCATCAGAGCAGGGAATTGTGGGACAGAACTATAGCAAACCTTCCAAAGCAAAGTGAGGGGTAAGAAGTAGATGGGCCGAGAGCTCTGCAGGGTTGTTCTTGCTTCTTTCGCTCACTGCTACTGAATACAGCACTCACATCACAGCTGCAGCTCGCTGGCATTATTTCCATTGCACAAAGGTTCACACTGGGCATAGCCCCTGTCCCCCAGCACCTACGAAGGTTTTCCCCCAGGAGCCAGAATGAAACACACTCCTGTGCTCTATCTGATGATACCCAGGGCTCTGCCTTGGTGAGCTATTCTCTTGTGTGTGTTTGCAGGACTTTTAAGTATCATTATATTGTGATATTCTTTGGCTCCACTCCCTAAGACATAACTCCACTTACCCTTGAGGCCAAGATACTGTGCCTCATGAGACCTCGCACCACTGTTTTCCAAGTGAATATTTTGTGTAAGATCTTCTAGCCACAAGGCAGCTTCTCGTGGTACCTACTGCTTATGGGACTCACTTTCAAACACCGACCTAGTTTGAAGGATATTCTTCTGGCCTGTGGGTACAATGTTATCTTCATCTTCTGCAGAGGTGGAAACAGAGTCACTGCCTGCTTCTCAGACTGCATGAAGTCTATTAATTTCCCATGTAGTCCCTTGTGTGGACAGTCAGAGAGTTGGATGATAGGAGAAATAACATCGAGGGGCCAGAGGTTTAGCTCAGTGGCACTGTGCCTGCCTGGCAAGCACGAGGTCCTGAATTCAATCGCGGTTCTTCAAAAACAATTCTTTTTTAATAAAGAAAGAACACCAAGGTCAACTGGTGAAGTATATTCCAAAAGGAAGCAAATTTGATGTAATATAGTTTTGGGCCAAATAAAATGACAACTGGAAATGTCACACTTTTTCCCCCCGGTGGAAATGTGACTTGTTAATCCTCCACACCGCCGTCCCTCCCTCCCACTTGCCACGACAATAAAAGGTGGTTGATCTCAATCATTTCACACTGATCTCTTACTATTTCTAGTCCAGTAGCTTTGAGTGACTGACTGATTCCTAGTCACATCAAGTATTCAACTGAAGGGCACTCCAGGGAACATAGAATCAACCTCTTACTTCACAAGTGAGGAATGCAGCTTGATCCAAGCACCCTGAGTCACAGGCAGGCCACTCTTTGGTGGCAGGACTCCCGGCTGACCATCACATCCCACACAGGATGCCACACTAGAAATGACCTTGACACAAATAATAGGAGGGTTTTATCAGGGCTGGCTTGAAGCCTGACTTACCAGACACATATTCACGGAACTTTCTAGGTTCCAGAGTGACTGCATGGTGACAACAGTCCACACGACACCATTCCATCTTTCTGCAAAAGCTTCTGGGACCCCACTCAAAATTATAGGCAAACAGCTGGTCCACGTGGCTTAACGAGAGTCAGCAATTTCTGACATGCCGAGATTAAAGGAGCATTACTTTGGCTTAAGATTTAGCCACCAGGTACACGTGGAATTCAAACACACCTGTGAGACAGAGAACCAGCCAGCCAACATTTAACCCTTCAACGTCAAAGCCTCCCGTTAAAGAGCTACAGTTTACTCATTGATCTCTTGATGACATGTTGGATGAGTATGAACTCACCTCAGAGACTGTATTGAGAGATACAAGTGAAATAGACAAGCCTGCTCCCTTCACAGATTTCACAGTGCTTCAAGAAAAAAGGATTTCATAGGACTTAATGTATTCGCCCAGTTTTGTAGAATTCAGTTTGGTTACCGCAGAGAGCCGCAAACTGATTTTATCTCATGGAAATGGAGCAAGTTAAGAAGGTTCCTTAAGGGGCTGGGGATTTAGCTCAGTGGTTCTGCCGCCTGCCTCGAAAGCACAAGGACCTGAGTTCAATCCCTGGTACCAAAAAAAAAAAAAAAAAAAAAAAGTTTCTTAAAGCAATCCACAGAAGGCGTTAATGAAACAGTGAGGACATTGTTTATCTAAGGTCACAGGGAGAAGGGAGTGTAGAGAGAGCAAGGAATCAGGGATTTTGTTTTTTCAAAGGCAGACTTTGAGTATCGCCATTAGACTTGATGCAGCTATACTAAGATGCTTAAAACATGAGCTCAGGGGCTGAGTGGTGCACAGAGCTCAGTGGTGCCATGCTTGCCTGGCAAGCACAAGGTCCTGATTCCGATCCCTGGTACTGGAAAAAAATGAGCTGAAAATGTATACACCTTTAATTGTCTCGTCTTCCGGAGTAAATAAAGAATGGACACAGTGCACCAGTTCTCCAGGCCGGATGACCGGCATGACTAGTGAGGTGCCACAGGGTGTGCTCATAACGCGGTAAAGGACACAGAGGGGCCTTAAGGGTAGGCAGATATCAGGAATTCCCGACACATCCAGGGCAACCTCCAGGGTCCTGCAGCAAGGGGTCAGCTTGAGCTGTGCCTCTGAATTAGGAACGATGACCGCGCTCGCAAGACCACAAGGGCTCAGGAGAGCCAGGCCCTCTTTTCAGTCCCTCGCTCTACACCAAGCAGAGAAAATCAGGCCACATGACCAAGAGCAGCAGAAAACCAAGAGCAAAGCAGAACCTGGTGTAAACTTTTTTTTTTC